GACCTTGTTGAATCATAGTGGTGAAATATTCTTTTGCATCAAATTCTTCACAAGGCTAATTGTTTCATTTGAATCTCAAACATGGATAGATTCAAGTAGAGGTCACAAGACTGTGACAGAGCAACCTTCAGGAAGACTATTCTCCTTCCTGACAGTAAAAAGCTCAATTCAGTATGTTATTATGCTGATTGTGAAGAAGGTTCTCTGGTAATGCTAAGTAATAGGGTTCCACAGCCACATAACCTTGGTGAAAACCATGCAAGACCATCTGTGACCACTCCCTAGAGACTGCATCTCTCACATCCATTTATAATCTCACATTCTCCTGCAACTGTCCTTTGCATAAACTTCTTCACCCAAACACCCAACTCTGTATCATTTGGACTTCCACTCACCACAATATTTCTACCACTTATTCTTTTCAACTATTCCCTCTCCTTCACAATTATTTTATTCTCTCATTGGATATGAGCCTACTTCCCTGTGAGTTTCTTCTTACTTTCTTTCATTTGTGTAAAATTTCCTGTGTAATCTCCAAGCCCAAGGAGCGCAGAGTTGAACATATCTGATGCACAATTGGTTTAGCTGTTCATCAAAAACTTTACAGCTACTTGGACCAGATCAACCATATTGTGCATACAACGTGAAGCTTCATAATTCCTGCACATTTCCACAAATTTTTAGCTCAATTTTGTTCAAAGTCCCAATACCAAAGCAGGTTGCAGTGACTGAAGAGCTTTCTAATGATCCAAAAATCAAAAGTTGGGAATGAGCTCAATTTCAAATTTGAGCAATTGAATTGCTTAAATTCTGATTAATATGGATATTTTCTGACCTTTTACCCTGCTTTAATAAGGTGTATTAATAATAGGGTAGGGTTTGTACTGGCAGAAAAGGGTTTGTTTTGATAGGTCTAATTGTGACTTTGTTTTGTACATATGCAAGATGTTAGGTTTTGCAAGTGAATTTAGTTTATTTCTTGACTATCAATATTTTCATTCTAACATTTATATTGGCCAGTTACTTTGGTGACCATGCCTTGTGGTCAGGCCTTTTCTGACAAAGTCAGTCTGTCAGATTTGACAAATGGAACTTGATGAGACAGTGTCGGCTACAATTTTCCAGAGATTCAATTAGTGACCAAAAACATCAATCCTTCAGGTCAAATATTATCACGAAAGAATACTGGAATTAATTCCTGTAATTGAACCAAGTGTTCCAGGAGGAGTTGTGTAATGGAAGGAAAAAAAAGGCCATATATTGGAAAAGGGAAAGAGTTTCACATTGTAAATCAGTTTTCTCATTTGTTAGCAGGAGCCTGTACAGAGAGTCTTCAATTGGTGAAGGCTGATTGACCAGAGATTGAAATGAAAATGTGAATTGTGAAGCTTGTTCTAATTAGAAGGAATGATTACAGCCTTCCATCCCATGTCATGATGGTTTGTGCTGTGATGGTCAACTCTGTGTTAGGCATCATCAGTTGCCAGTTGTGATGCTGTTGATCCAGTGTGCTGAGTAGTCCTGGAATATACATTGCAGTCCAGCCAATAAATACTAAGGTTGTGGGCTACAGATGGTTTCCATCACCTTGCCCTTCCTTATGACTGATCCAGTTCCTGGCTGTGAGTCTAGGGATGCTGAATGGCCATGTATTCAATTTGGGAGCAAGGATTTATCAAGAACTTAACATTTCAGATTTGAATTCACATCAAGTTGCATTTATAATCACTTTGATCTCGATATATTTACACTTAGCAAAAATTTTACTTTTACTGTTATTTGATATCGGCTGAATTTAAGTATCTGTGAGAAAGTAGTCTCTTTTACTCAATAAAGAGAGCTTGACCGATGGAGCATCGTGTTACTTAGAGAAGTGTTTATCCTTGGATTATCTTAATCTTTTTCCTAGTTGACAGGACGGAAGCCAAGGCCTGAGTTGAAGATGATGTCTATTTGTTGAAAGATTTATTTGACTGAGGCCAAAAATCTAAAAGACTAATTGAAAAACTCCTGTTAGCCAAAATGTAGTTGGATCATTTCCATTAAATTCAAAACTTTTCCAAAAATTCATAAAAGAGTTTAATGCAACACATAATGTATTACAATGTTAGAGTATATTTCAGTTCTCCATTGAGCTTGATACAGGGCTTAACAGTTTGTGAACTTCACTGATCTCCAATTATGTCTGGGTTATGTAACAGCTACTTCAGGATTTTGTTGACAGATGTGAAAGAACTAATAGCCTGAAACACTACAGTGGAAAGAAAGTGAAGAAATCTCATGTTCTGATTTCTGAAACTGAATTTGAATTCTGCTTACATCACTGCTGCAATTTCTAAATAAAATCTGTCATTTCTGTAATTTCCCAGTGATTATGTAATTACGAGAGAAAGTCACTTGACAGAACAAATGTCAAGACACAAGAAAATAGGATTCTAGCTGAATATTACCTCCTTTGGGATAAAAGTGTCTTCATTAATCGTCAGAAATAAATTCACTAGGGGAATCAGAACAGGTGCTTAATGGCTCTATGCAATTGGAAATTTGAAAGCTTTTGTCAAAAGATAAAAGTTCCCCTAGTTTTAAACTGCTGATAGTTAGCCTCAAGTTACACTTTTAATTCTAACTGGTCCCAGAGCAGAGTTAGAAACTGGTTTGCAAAATGGAATAAATCAAATTAGTTTAGAACATGCTGTCTGTCCTTTTCTGTTCTGTTGGTTTTCCTTTGTTTGCCTGTGTATTCCTGTGTCATAAGAACCTAAGAAATGGAAAGAAGAGTATGGCATCTCCAGCCTGCTGTGGTATTCCTTAAGATCATGTCTGAATGTTTACAGTGACACCACTTCCCTGTTTTTGTATTCGGTTAGTGCCCAAAACTCAATTGATCTTGGTCTTGAATATACTCAGTGACACAGCATCCACAGTTTTCAGGGATGAAAAAACACAACTGAAGGTTTGACAAACCAGCAAAAGTCCTAACTGGGGGCAACCAATTCACCTTAGGAGATTTATGCTAACGGCAAAAGGATGGGTAGTGTTGTAAACTGTGTAGATGCAAGGGTAGAATCACTAGGTTGTTGATAGGTTACGTGAATCAATGAAATTGTGGCGTGTGAATTTTAGTGTAGATAAATTGTGCACCTTGGACATAAAATGGGTGGAATGTAATCTTAACTGATGGGAAGCTAAAAGCAATTGCAATTGAAAATGACATGGAAGTTTAGGTGCACAGATTATAAAATTGTCATAAATAGGTGCAGAATATAATTTAAGAAGCTAAAAGGGTTACAGCACAAGGTGGTAGAAGCCATGCTTCATCAATACAAAGCCCTAGTTGGGCCATGCTGACAACTGTGAGCAGTTCTGAGCACCACATCTTAGGAAGGATATATTTGCCTTCAATGAAGTGCAGCATATTTTTTACCAGAGCACTTTCTTGGCTCCAAGATTTTTATTCTTTCAAGGGACGTGGGTGTCACTAGCCAGGCCAACATATATTGTACATCCCTTGTGAAGTTGCTGACGAGCTTTCTTCTGAATCATTGGAGTCCAACTGATGCAGATGCACTCTCAATGTTATTAGGAAGAGAGTTCCAAGACTGTGACACAGCAATTGTGAATCAATAGTGATAGTGCTTCAAGGCAGGTTTGTGTGTGGCTTGCGGTTGGACTTGCAGATGGCAGTGTTACCATGCATCTGCTGTTTTTATCTTTCTAAGAGGTTGAATCATGGGTATGAAAGCTGCTATTAAAGGAGCCTTGGTAAGTTACTACAGCGCACCTTGTAGATGATCCACCCTGCTGCTGCTTCTCTGGGTCAGTGGTGGAGGGAGTGAATGTTGAAGGTGGTGGATGGCAGCGCCGATCATGAGAGCTGCTTAGTTCTAGATACTGTCAAGCTTCTTAATGATTTGTAGCAGGAAAGTCCGAGTGCCTGCTTGGAGGCTCCAGCTCGCTGATTTCTCCTCCAGGCTTCCAGCTCAGACAAAAGTCTCCAAATTATCGGTATACACCCCATGGGCAATGACCACCTTCATCAACCCCTTCCACAGAAATTGGCATTGGACATGCATCAATCTCATCATACCTTTATGTTATGCTTCCAACCTACTGAGATTGCAGTTCTCCACTACAATATTTTGCAGTGCACTGACACCTTGCATTGTAATACCACAACCGAGCCATGCTGCATTCAGGGACAGGCACCCATCTCATGTATGGAGCAGAGTGTACCTCAGGGCTGATTTCTTGCTTTCTTAGCTCTCAATCCCTCCACACCTATTTTCGATGCCTGCATCATCTCTACCTTGCCTTTCAGTGTTTTGCCAGGTCATTTAGCACTTAAGGACTCATAGTATTTTGTTTTGCCCGGCTATTTAGCGTAGACATAAAGCCAACTAAGGACAGCATTCAATCTCAGTCTAGGAGGTTGGATGGGAGGCAGCACATCCTATAATGGTAGGAGACGATACTGCACTGGAGGACATGGGTAACTGCTGGAAAGGGTGTGGGTCATTAACAGTCACAACCACTTTGGTTTTGACAGGGGGACAGAGCAGCATGATATTTGGCATTGCTAGGCTCTAGGGCCAGGGCTCAGGGGAATGTGATGAAGACATAAATGAAACAGTTGGGTGGGAAAGTGTGGCAGTTCAGTACTGATGGTGTCAACAGGGAGTTCAAGGAAGGAAGGAACATGGAGTTCCATGGGGCGGGTGGGGGCCTTGATTAGCAGGCTGACCCTACGACACACACTGCTTATTGTAACCCCTGATGTCCTTCCATTCTCATCTGCTTCGCATATAAGCAATGGAAATGGAAACTACAGGCTTTGCCAATGAGCGAGGTGATGTCCTTCTAGAGGATGTTACATTAACCAAGCAATTACACAGTACAGGTTGAAGACATCTGTAATCATAGCACCCTGCATGTGAAATGCATGTAGTATCTGCACAAATCCTGATTACAAGCAACCTTGACCTTGTCTTTGGTCTTAACAGATTTATTATAGTCATCTCTATGAAGCAGAGGTAATCACAGGTGACTTTAAAAATCTGACCTACAAGCCACAATTCACAGAGAATCCAGGATCCCATAGGCAACACAAAAGCATGGGACTGATTTTATCTCACCTTGAACTGTAAGTATCAACGGACATGCTCTTATAAGAAATGCAATTTCTTGGATGATATAGGATTATTGGTTAAGGAGAGCATTGCATTGTTAGAGATAGATGACATCTCAGACTGTTCAAGGACAGAATCGATTTGACTGGAGTGAAGGAATAAAAAGGGTGAAATTATTTTTCCTGGTGTAATGTATAGCGCACAGACTATTGGGGAAAATGTAGAGGAACAAATCTGCAGTGAAAGTACAGAGAAATGCCAACATTATAAGTAGATATTACCCGAAAAAGACTGGGATATTGGTAGTGTAAGGGTCAGCAAGGTACAAGCATTCAATATACACAGCAAAAGAACACATGAACTAAGAGTAGGAGCTGGCAGTTCAGCCTCTCGAGCCTTCTCTGCCATTTAATGTGATCAAGATGGATGTCATCTCAGCCTCAAATCCACCGACCTGGCCAGTTCCCATCAACCTTCAACCTGCTATTAATTAAAAATCTATCTCCTCCTTATGTTTGTCCACTCTGGGGTAGTAAATTCTACAGATTCACAACTTTTTAAGAGAAGTAATTCATCCTCTTCTCTGTTTTAAGTCTGCCACCTGTTAGCCTAAAACTATGATTTCTCATTCTGGATTGCCCCACAAGCAGAAAAATCCACTCTTTGTCAACTTTGTGAGTCCCCTGTAGCATTTTATGTGCCTCAATTAGGCCTTCTCTTGTTCTTGTAAAGTGTAGCAAATATAGCCCTAAACTGTTTAATACCTCCTGATAAAACAAGCCATTCATCTCTGGTATTAATCTACTGAACTTTATCAAAATTGCTTCCAATGCAATTACATCCTTCCTCGAGTAAGGGGACCAAAACTGGATGCATTACTCCAGACATGATCTCACCAATGCTTTGTACAGTTGCAACAACACTTCCCGACTTTTATACTACATTCCTTTAGCAATGAATGCCAAAATTTCATTTGCCTTCCTTTTTACCTGCTGTGCGTGCATACCAGTTTTCTGTGATTCACGCACAAGGACACCCAGATCCCTCTGCACTGAAGCATTTTGAAGTTTCTTTCCAGCAACGGAGCCAACTGGCTTTCTAAGTTGATTCTGAAATATAAATATTATGTAAGCATGTCCTTGCTACTCAAACAATGACTGCGTGCTGACGTTAGCACAGATATAGGCTTTTGAAATGTCTTATTTTATATAGCAAAACATTTGTGCCCATAGTGTTTTGAATTTTGTACTGTCTCAAAGGCAATTGATTAATTAGTTTGAATTACAGTTACTTTTGCTACCTGGGCAAACTTGAATGTCAGTTGCACATTGTGAGATCCCATAATGATGTACATGACTATTTAATCTGTTTTGGTAGTTGGTGAAATGTTTGGCTAGGAAACCAGAAGAATGGCTTGGGTAGCTTCAAATTCTGGCATATGATCTTTACTGTCAATTTTGATCATGCAAACAGAATCTAAGTTAATGTTGTGCCTGAAAGGTGGTGCAGAATACTCAGTATTGCATTCAATGCCAGTTTCATGGTGTGTTCAAGTGCTGGATCAGAGGTGAAGAAACATCGCGCCCATAACCTTCTCAGAGGCAAGATTATTACTAATTAATTAAACTGAGAAGATACTGGTTTGAACAGCAGCCTGGAAATACCTAGTCACAACTCAATGAATGCAGTTCCTTCAATTCGCTCTCTCAGCAAGCAATAACGCCATCAATCAAGGTGGGGCTAATTGGAGATTAGCCTGTTCCCCATTTAATTTCCTTTTGATTCGGACTTAATAGGTGAAGAGGGGAGAGCAGTTTAAAGTTCAATGATCCAGTTTGCTGGTCCAGTATATCATCACAACAATTTTATCTCTTTGTAATTCGTTAATTTCTAAAGCTTAGACCCAACCATGTTAACCAGTTTATGATAGGATCTTCAAGATCTTTTCATGAGTGTATTGCTGCCATCTTACCTTCAGATACGTTATGTTTTCACAGCGTGTCAGTGAGAAGGTTGGTGGTGCAGAAGGGACCAAACTCGATGATGACTTCAAAGAAATGGAAAAAGTAAGTGATGCATCTATTCTTCTGAACGAATTTGCCTTTTCATATCCCTGGCTATGTCTTTCAATTACAGCATAAAAGGACGAATTGGACAGTGTCCTATGTGAAATTTCTGTATACTATTGTTGGCCATGTGCTAACATTATGTTGGAAAGGGTTCAGGATATCACCCATAACTAACTAGCTAAAGACCACAGAAACAAAATATGCAAAACCTTCTGGGGTATCCATTAGATTTGAAATAAATACAACATTCATCATTAATTATGGAGGATTTTCATTGCAATTAAGGAGATGAATTTCTTTGGAGTTTCTCCCTTTCCTCTGTCGTGACTTTAACAGGATCCTGGTTTATCTGTGTCAACGCTTTTTCCATCAAAATTATAACAGAAAGCTGAAGAGGTGGTAAAGAAACTCACACCTGATATTTTCTACAAACAACAAGGTACTTATAGGAAGCAGTGATATGTTGCAATGTAAATCAGGACATATCATGAAATTAAAATCAAATTTTCCATCACATTTCAAAGGTTGTATCTTTAAACAGAAGTGCACTGATCATGATACAAAAGACATTCACTGAACTATAGCTGCAGCTAATTTTATCATTATATTTTTGAAATATTAAAGTGAGTGATTGGCTGAATTGGGATTAAAATGTGGCAAGTAGTCAGAACTCCTGTGAATTTAATTGGCTTGCATTTTGGATTTTTTCTGTGTTTCTTATCTTTGGATATGTTGTCTTAGATGAGATGGCCAAGAGAGATGGCCAATAAATCAAGGAGAAAATAAAGGGAAAGGTTAGGTATGAGTTGTAAAATATGAAGGAGGGGGAAAGGGTTAGCAGAGGTCAGGAATTACATTGTTTCGTGACCCGAAGAGAGAATCAGTTGGAATGGAATGGAGGAATGTGTAACAATATATGGCGCCAATGTAAAAACAAGGAAGAAGTATAATTACAGTCAAGTTTCTTTAATATACTTTACAAGGAAAATGTAGCTTTTTCTAAAGTGAATTCACTGTAGTTACTAATGGAATCAGGCAGTCTTGGATCATAGTCAGAATGTTCTACTGATTCTGGCATGTCACTTATATATCCTCTAAATAGTATGCTAGTTTTCTTCGATCACATCTCAGTAGAACATTAGAATTGAGGGTAAGAATTTGAACTGTTCAATTAATTTTGTAACGTTGCATCAATATGCGATTTAAATGCTAAGTCAGTGGAGGCCAGTTCAATTTGGATGATTTAATGGAATGTTGTTATTGACTGTATTTCATTTGGTTATTGAATGAGTGAGTTTTAGGATGCAAGTGAAGTTATAAAATAGAGGAGATTAGGAGACCTTCTTTCTGATTCTGCTTATCTCCTCATTCCTGACTGTAGCTGTGTTTTGTATTCTACATTTGGCCTGAGGGCTTTTGCTGGTTTTGCAATGTTGTTCTATCACCAGCAATCCGCTACAGTCTACACATCACTGAATCAATCCACATGAGGCACAACATCAGATTCTCTGTGAGTTTCACCCTTCATGTGCATGGCTTGCTTTACTTCTGAATTTCTAAGCCAGTGCAGAGTGGTAAGAAAGAAAAAAACATTGAAAATGAAAATATGAATGGTAAGTGGTGATAGTATTTGACTAAAGAATTAGAAAAAACAGCATTTTCTAGAGCATGGAAGAAAACAAAATATGATTCAGCTGTTGCTCTGAAAGAGAACTTTCGGAGTTCCGAGTTTTTGGAGTGGTTCCGACTGAGGGTTTGTGATCTAAAAGAATGGAGTTACAGCAATAGAATAGATGGTGGTGGAGTCGTTAATATAAAGTGAAAGAGCAGGTCAAATACTTGGAAGCTCTGAACTAAAGAGATGTGATTAATCAAAGGGGATGTTTTAGATTGCATTAAGGTTTGTTGTGCCCAAGGTTTATAAAGATATAAATCGCTTTACAACGCTGAACATTCTTGGTGTAATTACTCATTAACATTAATGTCTCTCCACTTGTTCACACATTTACTGTTCATGCGTCTGTTCTGAGGCTGAAAAAGTGACATTTTTCCTTGCTAATTAGACTCCTGTTTATTGATAACAAAGTGAAGGTCTGTGCTAAACAAACTATAGGTAAGTAAAACTGTTTCTTTTTTCAATATATTTCGATATGAAATATGTAAAGCTTGGTAAATTATTGATTGGACCAATCATTCGTACTATTTCTAAACATTATCATCGAGCTTGTGTTTGTTGTTATGTGCTATGCAGACCCACAATGCCCAGGTTTTTGGGCTGGATCATACATAGAGACATATTCCTCACATCCCTGACAGAAATGCTGTAGCTCCCACCGACTCAAAAGCTGGCTACCAATCACAAGCGACCTTAACTGATTCAGTGTGTCGTGTAAAGTGTTGTATTCAAAATTGGATTGTTGATGGGTTAATTCGACTTGTTTAATATGATGATTGTATATCATCACAGTAAGTGGTGCAACTTCACATGACTTTGGCTCTACACAGTCTCGTAAAAGATGTAAAACAGAGTAGTAAGATGTGTTCTAATAAAGCTCCAATTTCATATACCTCTACAGACTTATTAAGCATTTTGTATTAATCTTACAACGCCAGTAGTGTTGTAAAGTGGTACTCCTGCTTCCATCTGGAGGAAACCCCAGCCAAGAAATGTGCTGGCCAATCAGATTGGCTGAAGAAGAATAATGATTTCAGGTCTTCGACGTAAGATGCAGTATTTTGGATAAGCCTGCCCAGCAGACTCTAGAGAGTTAACTGAGGATGTTCTGGCAGCAGGATAACAGAGTCTGGAAGCACAAAGGTTAATGAGGGAAGGAGGTTCTGATCTCTTAATTTGGATCTAAAACACGTGACAAAACAAAAGTCAAGACACCATTCTTTATGCATAGAGTTTATTAGCTGCTCAGTCTTATAGCTCCTTGCAATCCCTGTACCCACATGGCCCCCCTTTCTATCTAACCAGAAAATTAGTTATCAGTGAACCCCAATCACTGCTTAACTGCTTGTTACATTAATATTATCTTGGGGCCAAGCCTCAGAGGGTTGTTAATCTGTGGAATTCCTTGCCCAGTGAAGTCGTTGACGCTACTTCAGTAAACGCTTTTTAAAAAAAAGGTAGATATTTTTTGAACAATAAAGGAATTAAGGGATACGGTGAGAACGCGGGTAAGTGGATCTGAGTCCACGAAAGGATCAGCCATGATCTTATTGAATGGCGGAGCAGGCTCGAAGGGCCAGACGGCCTACTCCTGCTCCTAGTTCTTATGTTCTTATGTTCTTATGATATAGCAGGGCCCCTAGAGACGATGTACCCCCCTGTTTCTGACAGCATTAAAGTGAAAGCTGCTAGGCTACCTGCTTTGCCTGTGCCTTTATTTTACTGCATATTAAATAGTGGCAAAGGCAAAATGAGCCCCTTTGTTGGTCACTAATTATTCCTGGCACCTTGCCCAAACAGTGTAATGTGGGAGAGAGGTCAGATTTGGATAGGAAGGTGGATGGGGGACCACACGTTTTATTTTATACTTCAATTCATGTTTTATACTTCAATTACACTAGCTGGAGACTTTAAAATCCAGCTCGATATGTAAATTCATGCAGCAATGTGAAGGAATAAAACACAGTCGAACATAATCCAGTGCTAACCATTAGAGTTATACATCACTGAGTACTAAATTTGTCAAAAATTTCTAATTATTTTGTAAATCAGCTGAAATTTCTGCCAGTATTATACAGTATTATATTCTAACATATAAATTGACTTGGCTTTCTACACAAAGGAATTTAAAACATAATTTATTACAACATTTCTGAAAGACAGATCCAAAACCTTGAAGATGGACAGAAACTCCAAATTGATAGAGTCTACAATACAGTGAAAAGACTCAAATTAACTCTGACGTTATTCTTGTATTGTTATATGTGGTGTGAATTAATTTTTTTTCCATGTTTGAGTAATTTATTTGAGGGCAGAATGCATTAGCTTGTAGCCTGGTTTCTGGACAACTGTTATTATGCCCCTGTTATTCATAAATGAAATATGATGAATTGGTATTCTGGCTGTTGAGGTCATTAAAACGCTAAAACTAGAGCTATGCCTGGATGAAAGAAAGAGTGTATGTCACTGATATTTGGGTTTTGTCATGTTCTGAGGTCTGACATTTCAGGTGTATGTATTACCAAATCCAAATCTTAAGATTCAATCTCTCGAGTTAACTCAAAGTCCTGTAGATCAGCAAAGAACACATGACAGGAGATTCTTATCTGCAATAAACTGGAGAGATTAACTGATTTATCAACAACAATAAAGAAACATATTCAAACCAAACTATTGACAGCTGTTATATCTACCCAGAAATCAGCCAATGTAAGGTAAGCCAAGCTTCAACTTGCCTCCTAACTGGTCCGTTTGGCATAGTTGCACACAGAAGAATTTTGTTGAGCCACTGGGGCAGCTGGATTGTAGAACAGATTACATCTCAGTCTGAATGTAATGTAAATTATTTTGTCATGACCACATCAGGTTTGTCTGTAGAAGTGGTCAATGAACTACAAATTTGTATAGCTCTTTTACCCCCTTTTTCAATTCATTAAATATTCCAATTTAAAAATAACCAGTAGCAAAGCATTTGTCTTAAGCCAAGATAAATGCAAGTTTATTGTCCAACATGGAAGTTACTTAGTAAAATGTGATATAATTATTCACTAAAATACAGATGTAAAGCTGAGAGGCACAGTCAAAATACACTTGCAGGATCGGTCTATTTTCATGGCAGGCGTGTTACTTGCTTGAAGATTCTTTTTCCAAAAGGTTGAAAATGTGAATTTAGCAGTTACGAAGGCTTGTGTAGTTGAATGGTTGGAGGTTGCTTGTGCTGGTGGGCATGGTAAGTAGAGTAGGGTTTGGGTTAGGAAGGTTCTTGTTCGTCACTTGTAGTTTTCCTGCATTCAGAATTTCCTGGGGAGTTCTGACAAAATGC